GCGCCGACCGCCCCGAAACCCGCTGTCGCCCAACCAAATGAGACCACCGATGCACAAATCGTACCCCCAACGGAATACCCGTATAGAGCGAAGGCGATCTACAGCTACGAGGCGAATCCCGACGATGCCAACGAGATTTCCTTCTCGAAGCACGAGATTCTGGAGGTCAGCGACGTCAGCGGGAGGTGGTGGCAGGCGAGGAAGGAGAACGGCGACACAGGCATTGCGCCCAGCAACTACCTGATCCTATTATAGGAGTCCCGACTCTCTGACTGGGTGTAATTTTTCTTCTTTATGAAAAGAACAGCCCCGGAGCGCGACGATCGAAACGACGATAAAAATATACCATCTTTCCTTCCGAGATCACTGCCCTGCTTCCCCCTGATGGCGTGTCGTGGTTTAGGTTAGACGTCGTTCAATTATATACCCTAAACCATTGAACCTCGAAAACCAGACTACACGCACACCTCGTGGGAAGACGAGCCAGCTCAATAACGACTACAACGACCGGCCGACCGATTCGTTTGATTTGGAAAACGTGGGTCAAGCAGCAATGGATGAGGCCTTGCGAACAGAAACAAGGCAGGGTCTCATAGCCTTACCAGATCTTGTCTTGTCTTTTCTTTCTTATGTTTGGGTTTGGTACCACGGATGGGTTGGTATTGTGTGCTGCTGGAGTAAAATCCTGCCATCGTTTGGGCATAGTAGCTGGCGGGCAGGGTAAAGGCACGACAGCAACGCCGGCACGGCGGGGAGGTTATTTTGAGGAACATGAAATGCCTCTTTTTCTTTTTTTTTATTGGTAACTCTACCTATTTCTCATTCGACCTACTTCTTCATACTATTATTCTATTTTGTTCTCTTTTTTTCTTCTGAGCGTATATGGTTGGTGTCTTGTTGATGACTGTGTGTGTGTGTGGGCCGGTTATTTGTAGTTTAAAGTCTAGTAGTAGTATATGAGATGTAGTGAACCGGTGTTGATGGTGGTGGTGGTGGTGGTGGTGGTGATGATGGTGTTGTTATATACCACTTTGAAAATTAGCTGCAGCATGTGCCTCTGTTTACTTCGTGAGCATGTGATTCAGGACTTTCTTCGATCTCGAGAAAGCTAGAGAATGATAATTGGGATTTCATTGTCTTCGGTCTGATAGTCGATCTGTGGGGTTGTTTGAATTTCCATCTGATTTGATCGTCCATCCTCTCCATCCCGAGGGATCGAATATCTCCACACATCCACGCGGATAGCTCCATCTCTCGGATTCGCGCAGGTATACGGATTTACGATCTTTATTTGTACCTGACAAGGATATCCATAGTATGATATCATTAGTTAAAGATTTCGACATGAATCGCGCTGCATGGTGTCATCTCTAACCCGTATTTAGGGTCTTTTTTCCCCATCCTTAATTTCACATCCTGCTAATACAAGTAGGGGTTCCTTGTTGGCTGTCCGGCAGTCGCGACTGGCAGAAGAGACGAAAAAAGAGAAGGGTTGAACATTTCTTCGTGCTTATTTGTGCCTGGCATCTTCACGATAATGACATAGTCATGCTACTCTAGTCTCCCAAAATGTAAAAGGTAAGATACCTAAGGTACGTAGTTAGCAGGCACGTGGCAGGCAGCGGGATAGATCTGTACAACTCTCTGACAACTACTGTCATTATGTACAGCGAAGATTCCAACCCTCGAGCCGCTCCAGGCTTCAGACGACGGACAAAAATAGCCAGCCCAACCAATCTCACCATACCGATTTCACTCGTGAGAGGCGCCCCTGACCTGCATTGCGTCGTCTGGTTTTGTTTCGTTTCGTTCCCCCCACTCCTCCATTGTACGTAGCAACAAATCACCTCGCCGCTTTGTGATCAAGATCTGGTGACCCCGTACAAGCTATATATATCTTGTGCTGTTACCAGCTAGCTGGTTTGTGCACTTCGTCTTATCTTCCTCGGCGCGGTGTGTGAGTAAGATGAGGGCGGCGGGTCCTGAGCTTGTCCGCGTGTTATTGTGCCGCAGAATGGTGGAGGCGGCGTGTGCGTTGCTGACATATATATATGCGGCGTTGTTGCGCGTATTCTGTGCCCGACAACTGGTAAATCAGATAACGCCAAGTAGTAGCCATTCCTCTTGAAGCCGATCGGCACGATGATATCCAGTTCTCAGCCAGCTAGAAACTCAAAATCACGGCGTAAGCCCCGCCCTCCTCTGCTCCAGCCTTAACCTCAGCTCCCGCTCCTTCTGCTGCACTTCGAGCTCGAGCCGTTCGACGCTATACTTGAGCGCCTCCTTGCGCTGATGCACGACCTTGGCCCGGAGCGCGGCCTCGCCGTCCAGTGGTACTCGGCCGCCTCTACCGCTTTTCTTATTACCGCCCGATGAGGAAGAAGAGTCCTTGTTGCCGTAGCTGCTGCTGCTACTGCCACTCTGCACCACTGGGATATGCGATAGTCTACCGGCGTTGAGCTCGGCGCGTGCCTTGAGGGTCTCGATGCGGCGCGCCTGGCGCTCGAGTTGTTTGTCTGCGCGGTCGAGGAGGAGGGCGACGAAGGGGCCGATTTCGTCTCGAAGAGAAGCTTCGGCTTGGGCGAGGGTCGGTTGGGGGATCAATTCGTAGTGCTAATTTTGGGACTAATGGTTAGGGAATGAATGTGTTTGGTGATGACCAAGAGAGGTGTGTGGTGTGGGGAGATGACGTACCCGAACTGTCTTGAGGACGGAGGATAAGCGCGGAAAGTCCTCAACGCCGTTGCCGAGCGTGTTGACGGACGATTCGAGGAAGGAAAGCGAGGTGCGCAGGGAGCTTACGCAGTCGCTGTAGCTGCTGGAGCTGCTGCTCATGTTCAACGTCATTTGCTTATTGTAGTTTTTTGGTTTGATGTTATTCACGATCTTTGTTTCCGGTGTTTTTGGTCGATTGTTTCCCGTGCTCCACGCGCAGCAAGAGACACATTGTTGGGGTCTGCGCGCTCGCGAGAGCGGTGCCGGGTGTTTGTGTGTGGGGCTTGACTTGACAAGCCCCAACATGTAACGTAAGCATGATTAGTAATAAGGGGCAGAATCAGGTTTTGGTTGTTTTGGCGGTCGGAAGCCATAGTTCTCTAGCCTAGAGAATACGGAATACAACCATTATCATCGTCAGCATTTTAGGCAAGGGGGTACACACAGAGCCACACGGGACATCTGGTCTGGAACCAAGTTTAGGTAGTACAACGCCTTTTCCAGTATAGCTGCTTCACTTTGCTCGATAATGCGGGAGTTCGTTCGTGCTTCATTAGTCGACCACTACGACACAGCAGGTTCTTCCCCGCTATCCACCGAATCTCGGATGCCGAGTTTGGTCTGGGCATTGAAGATGCACAGCTGCAGCCGATATCCAATACAGAGTATTGAGCGTCACAGCTAGCCAACGGTCGGACTTCACTATAGGCGCTTCCTCTCGTAGACGGGCAGATGAGGTCTGCTATTAGAGACTAATGCAACTGATACCTAACTCCACCGGTATTGCGAACTGGAATGCGTGCGCACCATTCACATATCTCTCGGCCTTAAGCAAAGGCCGTTGATGAAGAAGTCCTCTTGACTCAGCACCGTGCAGATGACAAATATTTCGCATTAGAAATCCGGATAGTATAAGACAAGAACACCAAACCATTTTGATGTGGACCTCTACAGGTAAGGCATATATATATATATATCAGTTTACTGCTGCGAAAAAGAGAGGAGACATGAGTAACAGGTAGCTGTCAAGGCCAATTCTCTTGCTTAACTCTCTTAAAAAAAGGTTGATCCTGACATCATGGCAGCAGCAACAACACCAAAGATTCTCCTGGTCGGTGCAACAGGCTACGTTGGGGGCACCGTGCTTGCTTCCCTTCTTGACAAAAAGACCGGCATACTTTCCACCTTCTTGCCCATTACCTTACTTGTTCGTGGAGTAGATCGGGTCAAAGTTTTGACGTCGACGTACGGTGAGGAAGCCGTGCAGCCGGTCCTCTACGACGGGGTGGATGACCTGGATACCACAGCCGCAGTTGCTGCGCAGCACGATATCGTCATCAATACCGCCATCAGCTACCACACCCCCTCGGCACAGGCCATTCTACGTGGACTCGCGCAGCGCAAGGCATCGACAGGCCGTGACGTTTGGATGTTTCAAATCGCGGGAACATCCAACATTGCCGACCGACCCTTCACACAGGCGTGGATCGAGAAGGACCCGGAGCGCGAGTTTGACGATGCCAAGGACGACATTTACGCCTACGAGAAGGAGCGCGAGGCACATGCGCCCTACGCACAGCGAACCGCCGAGCTCGCAGTCGTGGATGGGGGACTGGAGCTGGGCGTGAAGACGCTGGTCATCATGCCGGGCCTCATCTACGGCGTGGGCACCGGGCTGTTCAACAAGAATAGCATCCAGATGCTCTCGTACATGAAGTCTGCGCTGCACTATGGGTTCGGCACCATCGTCGGGGACGGAAGCGGAGTATGGGGCCATGTGCATGTTCGAGACCTGGCTGAGTTATACAAGATTGCCGTGCTGGACGTGGTTGAGAACGGCGGGAAGAGGTTGCCCTCGGGGAAGAAGGGCATCATTTTCGCCGACAATGGTCGCAGCACTTGGCTGGAAGTTGCGCAAGGGGCGACTACAGCAGTCTTTGAAGAGGGGAAAATAAAGGAGAACCAGGTCCAAAGCGTCGACTTGAAGGTCGGAGCTGTGCGGTTAGCAGAGTTTATGGGCTTCGATAAGCTTGAAAGTCCGCTTGTTGTCGATGCAGGACTTTCGAGCACCGCTCGCACGGTATCGAGTGTGGCCAAGAGCTTGGGTTGGACTCCTACCCGGGGAGACGAGGCTTGGAAGAAGCACTTCGGGGAAGAACTCAAGATCTTGCTTGCGAAGACTGCTTAGTTCACCGTCGAGTCATGTACTCGGTGGAGTCATCTTGCCTTCTTATGCAATGACAAGCCTAAAAACCACCATCAATCACATCTCGGTGGATTTTCAAGGACGAGTAGCTCAGGGGTAGAGCAACCGGCTGCAGTCCGGTAGGTCAGGTGTTCAATTCACCTTTCGTCCTTATCATATCTTTTGCCATTTTTAAAACACAACACTTTTAATGTAATTGTTCTGCTTTTTCGGATTCGAGTCTAGACTTGGTGACAACCGCAGGATCCACTTATTCTTTGACACAATGTTTAGTATTTAGATAGATATCTGGTATGATAAGGTTTCGATTTGCTTCAACGTTTTGATAGACTTCAACCTTTCATTGTTCAACCTACCTGAGCTTTTTTACATCGAGGTCAGCAGCACCTAGGAGGCAGCCACTATCTCTCCCGAACACTCAGCCGGCTCCACCAACTGATTCGTATCGTGACTCATCACCCCCCAGAAACCTTTCGCATCATTTCATGGACATACCTTCCTCCCCCCATAAAAGAAGCTTGGTCCAATTCATTTCTATTCAAAAACAAAGCTGCGTGGCGCAGCGGAAGCGCGCCGGGCTCATAACCCGGAGGTCACTCGATCGAAACGAGTCGCAGCTATGAATTTCATTTTTTGCCCTCTATTTCATTTTACCCTCTACCTCCCTGTCCACTACATGGACGTGACTCAAAGATACTAACATTGATAGACGACTTTCCCGTCAGCTCCCTGTCTCTATCCTTGCTCCATACCTCAAATAACTCAATACCTAATCATTTGGTTGTTTTATCCATGCCATCTGAGTTACTAGACTCGACCACACAACCTCGTAAACTCCCCCAAGAAATCCTCCACATCCTGCGCTCCATCAACTTGCACCTTCTCTTCCCCCCTCCCATGATCACCATCCTCACTCTGAGTAGCCGTAATAACAAAAACAGGAACCCCCTTCACCCCTTCCCTCACAGCCTGATCTGCAAGGTCATCAACTTCCTGACCACCTTGATCCGATCTCAGCCAGTCTCTAACCTCCTCTGCGTCCAAGCCAGCCTGTTCACCCACCTCGACCAACATGTGATGACTAGTAATGTCACCGTCTTCCTCAAAATACCGCCTAAACAGCTCCGTCACCACCGAATTCTGTATCTCTCCGGTACGAGTATTCTGTTGGGTTTGATTCAGCCCAGCGAAATGAATCAGCCGGTGCGCGTCGCGCGTGCTCCCGATTCTGCTCCCGAAGCTGAATGATATACCCTCGTTCTGGCCTTTGCTCCGCAGGCAGGCTTGCATTGCCTCTGCGGTGGTGGCTGAGCCGCCGAAGCGCTGGAGCATGCGGTCTGCGAGTGGCATGCTGCTGCTTTGGTTGCACGTTTTGGTGGCGGTGTTACATGATAATTGAGTATCAGTTCTGGCGGTGGTAGGTTGCCGGTCCAGGTAAAAGGGTAGCCATTCGATTATGAAGGTGTCATGTTTGCCGTCTGGTATGACCCGTTTGTAGAGCTGGATCGCGCGGTCGAGGCGCTTTTTGCCGAGATAGCACTTTTGGTGTCAGTGAAACTTCGGGAGACAGGGACTGGGGAATTGAGACGTACTTGTGGACAGACTGGGTCGGAGGTGATTTTGATGGTGAAGATGGTCATGGCCGTTTGGCTGTGAGTCGTCAGACAGGAAGATGATCAGATGTGGTGAATTCTCGACGTCAGGTTTGGTCTTAAAGTCTTATCATTTGTTGTCGTCACTGCCTAATTCTAGTATACCTAGGAAAACTGAACCCCTGAACGGGCGGAGCTCCGCCCAAGTAATCCGCGCGTCACCTGTTTCAGAGGGAGAAGTTGTCCCGGTGACCGATCCAAGCACTCGAAATCTGAGTAAATGTCTCCGGCGACGGATCGCAATCCGTATATTGGTAGTTCCAGTCGTTTGCTATTGAAAGAGTTGGGAGGATCGTATGGTGGTACACACCGATTCCTCGGCAAATCCTAGACTAAATGCAGTATCTACTTCTCCTTTGACTCCCTCTCCGTAACGCTCACCCACATATCCTTCTGCAAAAATAGGTTCAAGTGTACGCTATCCCACGGTTTCAGGGGATACGCCAGTTGAAAGTCGAAATGTCTCAGCAACTATTATACCTCTCAAATTAGCACCAACCTTTTCACACAACCCCAGGGAAAGAGAGAAACATACCTCAACATAGGTCTTATTGAGCTCCATAAACGCCAGCACCTTGCCCGCGCATGCCCACCGCCCATACCCAAAGACAAGATCAGTAATCTTCTTCATATCTGCGGCCTGCTGAGAAGAAGCCTCAAGCCACCGCTCCGGCCTGAAAAGATCGGCATCGTCTCCAAAGACGGCGTTATTCCGCGTCACGCCAAATATGCTCGGTGAGATCCTCGTTCCGCCCGGCACGAACTTGCCGGCAATGGTGTCGCCTTCCGGTGGGACAAGCTTGGAGTTCAGGCCGTGAAAGGGCGGGTGGATACGCAGGCCTTCGTAGATTACGGCCTTATCACATGTTAATCACATCAATTTGAGGAGGTGAAGAGGTTGAAGGTTACCTGAAGATATGGAAGTTTTTGCGCCTCAGCAGACGTGATAGGGCTCGAGACCTTGCCGTCCTTGATGCCCTGGTCTATCTCGGCTTGCAGCGCGCGATATACGCGCGGGTTGGTAATGATGTGCAGCATCGTGGCGCGGATCGAGGTGGCTGTCGTGTCGGAGCCGGCCACGAGCTGCAGCATGGCTTCGCCCTGGCATTGCTTTTCGGTCATTCCGTGGCGGATGAAGGAGCCCTAAGTAAGTTCAAAGTGCTGGTCAGTGAACAAGAAAGCATCGTTCTATGACGGCGTATGTGATGTTTGCGAAGTTGCGAGATGTGTCTGATCTTACCAGCATGTCCTGCTTGTCTTTTGCGTCAGGCAGATTCCATCTCTTAGAAACGACCTCCTGTCCCAGACTGTTTTGTACATACAACTCACGAGTTAGTAGTTGTAACCTTAAATGGGAAGTAAACTATAACTGTCTAGTGTAGTGGGTATCACAGAATTGACATACCCCAAAATCACCCCCATGCCCGTCTTGTCAGTCGGCTTCGGCCCCAACAACCTGTTCATCAAGGTCGTGGACATGATATCGGCCAGGTACGGCACGGCCGCCACGGTAACAAACGTCGGCCCAAACTCTCGCATGGACGCGATAAACCCATACAAGTCCTCCTGGGCCCGGAGGTACCCAAACGCCTGCCCAAAGGCAACTTTGCTGATCGAGTCGAGCGTGAAGTACTGCACCATCGTCGCGAGGTCCAGCAGTTGTCTCCCGCTGACCTTGGTCCGAATCTGGCCGACCATCTCTCTAAGCAAATCGTCCATATCCTTCTCGAACGTCGGATTATCCTTCCCGGCGTACCCCGCGGCGGTCTTAGCTTTGATCTTGTCGTGTGCGGCCGTGTCGGTCGTGCTGAACATGTGGTCGTGGTACGGATCGACTTTGTTCAAGGCGTACCAGTTGGACCGCGTGTAGCGCGAGCGGGCGGCCGAGGTACGTTTGAGTACGTCCGGGTCTTTGACCAGAAGATCGTTGGGGCCGATGCGGACTGCTGGGCTGTCATAAGTTGTGTGTAGTGAGGTGAGGGTCTCGCCCATGCGGCCGGTCTGGTAGTTGCGGATGATCCAGACGTAGGAGAAGGACGCCAGGAAGGGGCCGTCGAAGGCGCGCAGGCGGCGGTAGGCGATTATGGAGGAGATTAAGTAGGTGGTGATGGCTAGACCAAAGATTGCGAGGACAGATGTGCGCACGAAGCTTGGAAATAAAGTGAGAGAAAGGGAAAAGGGAGGCGGGATCGTGATGGTAAAGGTTCCGCTGGGAGTGATTCCCGCTTCCGCTGCTGTATGGTTTGCCATGTTTATCGTCCACTTGTTCTTTTCGGTTGAGCAAGTTTGACTGGGATTTGCCAGTGTGGAAAGAAACGAGGAGAATGTATGTAGATGAGGATATCAACTGAGTTATATAAGATGGCTGTCCCTCACCGTACCTTGTTTAGATGAGCAACTTTGTATAAGAAGCCCCGCATTTGCACCACCAAGCAGCAATACTACCATTCTCCTCCGAGCCTCGGAGTCTCCGAGTCGGGGCGAGTCCGAACCCTCCATTGATCTCCACGACATCCCGGCGTCAGGGGGGTAAAAGGTAACCCTCTTACCGGGTCGTTTCGGATGCGTCTGCTAATCTGAATCCCACGTCCAAGAAAGGTGCCAACAACTTTTGGCGTGCAGAGTTACATGTAGATAGTTTCGGGGAATGGGAACCTAACGAAGGTATTGACGCACTTTGGGTGCTGGGGACGTTGGAGTGATTGGCCCAGCGATTGCTGCAAAATATTGAGGCGTACGCATATAGATGTGCACTAGTCCGTTCGCAACCATCAAAGATAGGAGACTTTTCGAAAGAGCTCATATTCCTCGAACCCCGCGCCAAGTCAGTCTGCTCTTCTGGTCTAGACCCTTCCCTTGGCGTATGTCAGAACTAGAAAGTTATTCACGCCGTGGGATGATGCGAGAGGGACGCATCGAAAATCGGTGTCTTCTATGACACTACGCTTCCTCGTCAATGATTTCCGTATGATAAACAAAATACCTGTTCTCTGCACTTCATGCTCAACACCGAGTAGAACTACTGGATGTCTATTAATAATATAGCCAAGCATATGGCTTGTAGCGTTGGATCTTGTCTTGCTAATGCCAATATGACAGAACATGACCTTATTTCTGGCTGATAGGAGATGAACTTGGTTGTTCAGTCGGATCAGATACGACTATCGGCGGCATCCAAGGTCCAGGGGGGTGTCTAGACGAAATTTCCTGCTGGAGCTCGATGCGGGTGGTGACTCTGATGTTTTTGTGCTCGCCTGCCCTGATCCTCTCGAGATAGTCGAGCGATTTGCCTGGAATGATTGAATTCCAACTGTGCGAATCGGAAGTGCTCATGCTGGCGAGCTCACCCAGTCGAATCTTCACCGCGAGACGCTCCTCCATTGTGCTGCAAATATTCGCCAAGCTGGTGGCGCCAGCCACCCGGTTATACTCAAACCTGTCCAGGGCAACAGCGAACATATGCTCAAGTACTGCTGTCGGGGCGCAGTCCAGAGTGTTT